TTGGTATAGCATGAGACTCTTAATCTCAGGATTGTGGGTTCGACCCCCACATTGGGCATCATTTGTTGACAGAGGTTTCTGTCCCATCCAATTCTGCAGTCGTTCATTTTTAAAGAAATACATAGAGACTTACATTACTTATAAATTGGTTAGCCTATTAGCTCAGGCTTCTTATTAACTCTTATAAATTACATTAGCCCATAACTCTTGTCTGTGTTAGTCATGTGGCTAGGGACCTTTTATCAGCAAGACATTCTCATCTTGCTTCCTCTGTGACTGGGTGATAACTGCAAATTGAGCCTTTCCCATAATTTTCCTGTTCTCATAATCCTTTCTCAATTTGTCCTCTGACCCTTAGGGGTGAACAAACATGCCTATGTACACACACACACACACACACAACACACACACACACACACATTCACAAATAAAGAAATGCAATAAATTTGAGAAATTGGGATACATTTGAGTTTTTAGAGCCGAGGATGTGACCCTGCTAGTAGAGAATGCATCAGAATGTACAAAGCCTAGAATTCAGTTCTCAACACTGCATAAAACTAAATGCGGTAGCAATCTTCCTGTTATCTCAGACTTGAATAACAAGTTTGAAGCCATTCGGGACTACACAATGTTCTGCCCTCTACACTAAATATAGAATATTTGATGTTTTATAAGCTTACTTTAAACTGAAAATGTCTAGTAAAATAAACAGTTGCATGCTAACTACAGTGACAGTCAAGTTAAGGACATTGTGATGGCTTGAGTCAGAATGGCCCCCATATGCTCAAGATTTGAATGGTTGGTCCCCAATTATTGGAACTGTTTGGCAAGGATTAGGAAGTGTGACTCTGTTGGAGCAGGCATGGCCTTAGTCTGTCACTTCAAAAGCCCACTCTGGATGCAGGTCACTCTTTTTGCCTGCAACATGTTGATCAGATATAAGGTCTCAGCTACTACTCCAGCACCATGCCTGCCTGCCTGCTGCCAGTCTCTCTGCTATAGTAATTATGGACTAACCCTCCAAAACTGTAAACAAGGTCCTAATTCAATAATTTTTTGTATATGTTGCCTTGGTCGTGGTGTCTCTTCACAGCAATAGAAGAGTGGTGAAGTCAGATGTGTACTGGAGCTGAATTGCAAATCTTTCTTTTATTCAGTTCATGTATCCTTTTCCCTACTCTGTATCTGTAAAATGAGGGTAATGACTTTGATACCTCCTCTATCCATTGTTTGTGAAAAATTAAATGAATTATTATGCAAAACTGATGACCTGTGAGGGTTCAATAAACTAAAATTCCGTTAAGTATTATCATTTTCCCAATGGTAATTACTTAAAACTTTTATTCTCCTTTAAAATGTTATTCTATTTATAGTAAGGTGATCGTCTAAAACAAATTGCTTTAATTCAGATTCTTTGTGCAGTTTATAAATAATCCTCATCAATTTACTGCACAAAAAGTTGTTCCATTGAATGACATGATTTATGTAACACCTGAGTCTACTATACTTTCATCAGGAAGAGTCACAGGCACAAGTATACAACGTAACTAAAAAAAATCTTATAAAAAAGTAAAATTAAGCCATGAGGTGCAGTGAATAAAAGCACTTACAGCACAGACCTCCTAGAGGCTTGAGTTTGATCCCCTGGCCCAAGCAGAAATGCTGTGTACCGTGACTCCCACTTGCAATCCCAGCCCCAGAATTTTCACCTCCACATGGGTTCTGGGAGGCATATATAGAAGAATAAGCCAGACTCCCATATGCATCCCAGTGGCAGAAATATCAAGAGAGACTTTGTCTCAAAACGAAGGTAGAAGGTGAAAGCTACCTGCTGCAATGTGTCCTCTCACTTCCTTTAACTGAGCGCTCTCTCCTTCTTTGTCCCCCATGTCTCTGTGTCTCTCACCAATACACAAAACAAATAAATATCTTAAGGTATAAGTAACTCATCTTTTCGTTTCTGTATCCTTTACATTTCTGTATGCTATCAACAGCACAAGTATAGGCATATAATATGATGTAATGTAAATATAATTGCAGTGTATCACTTTATAAAGTATTCATTTTCATTAGAATTTTATACTCAGAGTAGTAATTGAAGTTCACAAATCAGAGAGACAAAGGATAATTACGCATAAAAAGGTTGAATAAAACTGTCTGAATTATCATGGTGATCTAGAAACTTCGATTGCAGTACAGTGTTATGAGATCACATGAAGAGTTACAAGGGATCAAGCTTGCTGAGAGAGGAAAAATCAGCCTCCAGTAGCCATGTGCTCCCACACAGGCTGTCCAGTCCCAAATGGCCATTGATGGATACATGTGCATATTGACAACGTGAGATGTACTTCGTAGATTATAAATGTATACATGTGGACATAAGTATATAGATTCAACAAAAATGATGAAAGACAAGGTCATGACTTTGGGAGTGGGGACACTGGAGGAGTTAGAGCTAGAAGTGACAGTTCTCAAAGACAAACTATTCTAACACTCAAAAAAGAAAGGAGGAAGGAAAAGAAGGAAGAAAGGAGGAAGGAAAGGAAGGAAAAGAAGGAAGAAAGGAGGAAGGAAAGGAAGGAAGGAGGGAGAAAGGAAGGGAGGGAAAGAGGAAGATAAATAAGCCTCCAGAATGAAGCACAATGTGCTGTCCCAAAGTCATCTCTTGGCCAGCTTCCCAAATGGTCTTGCATTATAGGCTTATGGCAGTCACAGATGTGACATTCATGTGCAGTGTGTTTTACTGAGACATGTCAAGGAGATAATTGTAACTGTAGGTATTTGTTCATGAAGTAGCCTTTCATAATCTAGAAAAAAACTCTTAGTTGAATATACGACAAGTGCAAATAATTCCTGGATGGAAAACTCAGCTATTAATTTATATTTTATAAAGAAACCGAGACAGTAAGAAATCATTCTCAGTACCTTATTTAGTAAATATCATTATGTTTATCCCACCGCTTCCAAGGAGGGAGATTTTATTGGTTTGGAAGTTCATCTTCGAAAAGCTTGCTGGTTTCTAGGGATGCATGAACTCAACCAGTTGTTTTAACTAAAGAGGAAAGGCTGTATTTTCTCTCACTAAAATGCAAGCTTTCTTCCTCAAAAGTAACTTTCTTTCTCTCAACCCATCTGCTTCATCAGAAATTATTGTCTATTTAAAATATTAGATTTTATCCAGTATGAACATAATGTCATTCTAATATAGTTGGCATTCATCACTGCAGTGGTGTGCCAAGCATCTCCCCAGTCACTGGACAGGCAGCTTTTACAGCCTTGACAGCTATGTGTTTGGGAGCTCCTGAAGCCACTTTTTAAGTTCCTTCATTTAATTTTCAACTTTAAAATGGAAGGGGATAAAGCCTTAGTGAAAATATTTCTTGCCTCTCAAAAGATTGATCTAACGGAACAATTTTTTTCTTTTCTTTTTTCTTCTCTTCTTCCATTCTTTTTTTCTTCCTTCCTTTCTTCCTTTCTTTCTTTCTTTCTTTCTTTCTTTCTTTCTTTCTTTCTTTCTTTCTTTCTTTCTTCCTTCCTTTCAGTTTGCATACCTCCATGTGAAGGGTGTGAATGCGTGCTCATAAATACCAGATACACAAGGACATAGAAAGGTGCTATGGAGCCAAAGTTGAAATTCTGACTCCAGCTCTTCTTGGTGACATATCTATTAGTGGCTCTGTATAAGGAAATTTCACCCTGAAATCCAGTGACCGAAACTACAATTACTTTGTTATCTGGACGGTTCTGTGGGTTAGAACACAGAAACAGGCTTGTCTTGGCTGTCTGACTCCAGTTCACTCTCTTGGGTGCAGCCATACTGAGACTAGAGCTGGAGGTACTAGCAGCTGCTAGCCTTTGGTTTCTTCTCTTCCTACTTCTCCTTTTCCTTTTCTTCCCTCTCCTTTTCCTATCCCCCCTACCACTCTCCTTTAAACCTAAGCTGTTCCCAATGGTCTCTTTCTTAGAGTAGGTAGCTCGGTAATCTCAGAGCTTGCCAGCCATGGACAGATGGATTGACAGAGCTACAGAAGACCAGAGTCTCAAAATGATACCCCAGTGGGTGTGAACCTTCAGTCCTGACCTAACCTTGGGAACACCCACAGCATCACTTCCTGCTACATACTGGTTGTTTCTTAGGAGACTCAAGGGAAATGTAGATTCAAACAAAGGGATGAGGCCCCTCTTAATGAGGCAAGAGCCCAATTGTTGAAGCCTTCTGGGAAGGGTGCTGCTATTACATACAGTTTTGAGGTGTACTTCTTCCAAACCCTAACTTTATACACTTTTGTCCCTTGTCTGCAAAGCAGAAGTACCCTGTAGTGCTTGTTCAGGTTTTTCCAGAGAATCGAATGAGATAATCCTCTTTCTAAGCGTTTACAACAACAACAGAATGACACCCCATAAATTTTAGCTCTTATTAATGCCTTTGCCTCTCAGCATGACTATCACCCCAGCTAAGAAGCATTTCTTATTTTTTCCCTGAGTTTTCACCCCCTCTACAAACTCACCATAGCTGTGAAGTTAGCTCCTGTCTATAGAAGCCTCCAGACTTCACTTTAATTATGTGTTTGTATGCACCGATCATCTGTGTATGAATTCTGCTTTTGAGGACTCCAAATACTTGCCTAATGGTACGGGTTGGCTTGTTTGGGACTGATTTAGTCTACAGTAATGATGTAAATAGCAGAAAGGATAAATAAAGAAGGACCAATGGTGAAAATGAGGCAGGGTAACACAGCGATCACATTGTAAAGAATGCTTCATGCTAACTCAGGTTTACTCTTTTAACATGGTTTCTTTTTTTTTCTCCACCTTGAGATTTTCTGTTTTTGAGAATGAAAATATATATGAAAAGTAACAACTCTGAAAGACTTGATAACCAAACTAGTTATCTGACAAATTTGTATGGTTGGTGATATTTTTTTACAGTGTTGAGCAATCATACTCACTTCTCCTTAATTCATGTTTAATTTAAAAAGAATAGCACAGATAGTGCTGGGAAATGTCGGGTGGTACAGCCAACGCTGTGGTTTCTCTAGTAAGAGTTACTTGATCTGCTCCTTTGTCTAGGAGGAGTGTATTAGCCAAGTCCTGCTTCATCAGACGCAACCTTCTTGATCTTCCAGCTGAACAAGGTTTCAAAGGTTATGGTCACCTTAGTAACAGAAGGTGGGATGGCCAAGTTAAACAGCCTGGCTATGAGTTGGAAACCTTAGGTCATCAGTTATAAGAAACATAAAATACATTCTTATGACAGAATTTCAGACTTAACTGGTATTTCAGCGATCAGCTTCCTCTTCAAAGAGGAATCAACACTGAGTTTCTTTCTAATGCAATGAAATCTGTTCCAAGAACAGCACCCATATCAAAAGGAAAGAACTGGGGCGCCTTCTAGACTCTGAACCACAGACCAGTCCTGCAAAGTTCTAAGTAGGACTTGCTTTTTTGCTCTATGCCTAATCATTTAAATTCCGTAAAAAAAAAAAAGAAGAAGAAAATCACAGTACATTAAAATTTCAAAAAAAGCCATTTGGGAATAATACAACTCTAGCATTCTCATTTCCTGGGAGCCCAGAGATATTTAAGATGAATTTGCGGTTGAACTCTAGGAATGTCAGGTCTCAGGAACAACAGACGAAGAGGCTCTAATTAGCTGTGATGAACGCTGATTATAGAGCACGGATATAACAATGATTGCAACAGAAAAAAACAAGAGGTGATGCGGCGGTCCTCCATATCAAGTGGGGCTGTGTAATTAGAGGGATTTAATCCCAGCAGGCAAATGGATGTATTTGTATTTGTGCCATTTTGTGGCTTTGCAGCAGAGAGTTGTTCTCGAAAAGCACAAAGGGGATGGAAGCATACTTGTTCCGTGAGCTTTATCTATTATCCATTTCATTTGTGTGGGTTTTTTTTCTTGATCATTTCTTGCTTCCTTCTTGTTCTCCACAGAAAATCCATTTCCTTCTCAATATCTGACACTGTTACCTGATAAGAATGATCTTTTTAGAACAGCCCCGAATCGTTCTGATTAATAGAAGAGACATATGCTCACAGGGAAGAGGAGATGCTATTTTTATATGAAATATGTGCTTTGAAGTCTAGGCTGTCTCTCTCACATCTCCAAAACAGAACAGGAAAACTGCCTGGCAGTGAAGCTACGGACAGTGTTGATGGCCAGAAGCGCTGTGAGGCTGGCCAGAGTATGGCTGATCATGAACAAATCTCTTAAACATAAGAAGCCCATTGGTCATCTGAACTGCTGCAGAAGAACCAGCCACTTGTTAAGAGATAATAGGATCCTCTTGAGCAAGAGCCTGTCTTGAAATTCACTGTCTTTTGAGTCCCTGATGGCCTGATGGAAGAGACAGGAGTGGAAACTGAGCCACACCAAACCCTGCAAAATACACAAAGACAAAAGCAGCTCACAACAGACTTAGGTACTGATGGCCAGTGCCTGCAGCTCTGCCAATTGCTCACAAAGCCCTTTTCCTACGCTGTCCTGTAACTAAGCATGCAAGCTGGAATGAAGAACAAACGTAAGATCTGCTTTTACATTGTAAAAAGTGATTGTTGGTAAAGTTAGATTGAGTGGCATAATTCCTCGTTGTGACAGATTGTCTGTGTTTGCTCTATACTTACATTGTAAGTATAGAGAAGCAGCATACATTGCTAGGCTCACACAGTACATGCCACACATCAATGTGTTCTGCACCCTTCTTTAATATTTCTATCTAATAATTCTCTAGATTTAAACAGTACAATACAAGCATAGTCACTCATATGAAAATTATACCTCAGATTTTACTATCCTACAATTTAAACCACAAAAAAATCCTCTGATGGAAAGCAAATTATGCTGCCTGTGAGTTATGAAAAATGTGAAGAGAACACCTCATTGTCATACACATTTACTACAGATCTGCTATCAAAGGCACTTTGTAATTCCTTTTGGGGGCATATATTTGTCACAGAAATGATCATACATCCACAGTTTTATATACATAAACCAAATATTTCTAATAATCTTCTATTACATGGCAGGCAAAAGATATGGACAAAGCAGGCCCTGGGCTGAATTGCCAGTGTCCACTATGCTCAACAGGTCTCACGACCACAATGGTGCACAGGAGGAAAACACACGGAATAGTGTAAGGTTTCCTGCTGCACTGGAGTAATCAGTGAAGTTTACTCATTAAATACCAGCACTGTATACAGACCAAAGCATTCAGGGCTGACCTGGGCCATGGCCTACTAGTTTGGAAATTGTTGTCCATTGTGGCTACAGCCTGGATTCAATGTGCTATGTACTGGCAGTGAGAAGCTGCGACCAGTGGGTGCTCAAGGAAGTTCTAGAGCAAGACAGACAAGTTAAGAGTTATAATTTAAGAGTTGACATAAATTGCTATGCAGGATCTTGGCAATTTAAATACACAGTAATCTTTTCTGATGATACACAATTACTCACTTTTCTGGTATCTGCCTGATGGTTAAACATGAGGTTAAAACCAAAGCCCTCAGTTTCATACTAACATCGTCCCAGTAGCCCCATGTTTTGCCGCAAAACATTACACATAACAGAAAACAGGACAAAGTCTACATGGCAACTTTGTAGCCTGCATATTGAATGGAAGGGGCATCCTTCCCACAATTAAGGATCCTTTCCAGGTGCTTAAATCCCACCACCCTGATGCTCTGAGTAGGCTTTGAGCTTTCTGCTTTCCCTGGGACCCATCTGCAAAGGAGGTAAAACACGTCCTCACCCAGAGGATGCAGACGCTATTGTGTTCCACTCAGAAAACAATCCAGGACAAAATCAGCATGCTGGTTGTCTCCAAGACTGTTTCCTGATCTATTTTTAGGGAGAAGAGATAGGTGGATGCCTGAATCAGAAACCATGTGGGGCTAATAAAAGCAATAAATAAAATATGACGGTTTTGCCTAAAGTTATATCATCCTGATTTTGACCAAATTGTTTTTGGTCAAATTTTGACCAATTGTGTAAATTCTAATGTTACTTTCTAAAGCCTGAACAATAACAGGAAAAAAGATCCAATTCCCCAGCTCCCTTCCTGTCAAGCTAATTTTTCCTCAAGGTTGCTGCATGATCATGGTTCTAAGAATTAATGGTGTTCAAAACCCTTATTCTTAAAATGTCCTCATATATGTCTTACAGTCTGGTCAGATATCTCTAGTCTTGCTGTCCTTGGTTCCACTCTGTCAAAGGCACCCACTTTTGCAACATTCCCAGACATTTATTTTATTTTGTTTATTTATTTCTTTTGTTGTTGTTTTTTAGAACAAGTTTAGGATGAACTGTTATTAAAGACTTGTGTTGCATACCTTTTTCGTGGGGAGACAGGAACAAATGCTCCCACTCCCTCTGAAAGAGCAGCAATGACAAACAAAAACAATCCCAGCAAAATCCAACCTTTTGGACAGCTAATACGTTTATTAGAATTAATTTCAGAGCATGGTGAAGTGTTTCTAATAGGATCATGGGTGGCTACATAACACCAAGTCTCACCCCACATAGCTGCAGATATGGAGTTTCTTCTCTGTGGTCTATACAATTGAGCATCCCCTGAGGCCATGTTCATTGAGGGCCATGTTCATTGAGGGCAGAATTACATAGAATTGGCTGGGAGGTTTATGAGGGAGCAGCATGAACCCCAGGTGCTGGACCAGTGACCTCATCCTTTTCTCCTTCTGTAAGGGAATATCAACAGTCAACAGGCCTCACCTCAAAAATCTCTTTCAAATTATCACAGCCTCTCTGATGAATGACTAATGTCATGCTGGAAAGTTGGTACTCGACAGCAACTTGCTTTCTTGCTTCCTAACAAAATAGGACAGATGCAAAGATAATAGAAATAAGGGAAAGGTATTCTTCAAAATGAAGAAGAGAAAATGATACTGTCCCAGCACTGAACCAAAGAAAAGCAAGAGTGACAAGAGCTGTGGACCTGCCACTGGCAGCTGGAAAGGCAGAGCTGGAGGGATGGAATTGGAGAAGAAAAGTGCATCTCAGAGAAAGGGAGAAAGATGTGCCTATGATAAAAATTAAGTTCCATTTACTGTCTCATCTGTCCCTTAAGGAGCACCAGGGGAAGAAGTAATTTCAAAACTGCTCCTTCTGTGCTTACACATCAATTTTGATTTATGGTAGGTACTGGTATTTCAAATATTACATTTTCTATAACTAGGAAAGATGAGGAAAATAAACTGCCCAAACTAGATCTGAGCTAAATCCTATTTTGACTTTTCAAATAGAGAATAATTTCAGTAAGAGTAAAGGTCTTTGTCAAGAGGGGAAAAATAAACACTATATTTAGCTCATCAGATCCAGGATCAGGGTAATTCAAAAGCATAGCCATCTGAAACTTGGCATAGGATACATCCTTTAAGATTTGCTTACTGAAAGGGAAGATATAAACAAGAAAAATGTGTCCTAGAGTGAGGAATTTGGCAAAAGCCCACATGCATGTGTGCATTTACAGATGCACACACACACTCACAGAGGCACGCCCACACAGATGCACACAATCAGAGATGCACACACTCACAGATGCATACTCACACAGATGCACACATTCACAGATGCACATACACATACAAATACACACATATTCACAGATGCACACACACTCACAGAGGCATACTCACACAGATGCACATACTCACAGGTGTGCACACTCACAGACATACATTCACACATATCTGCATACACTCACAGATGCACACTCACACAGATGCACATACACATACAGATACACACATATTCACAGATGCACACGCTCACAGAGGCATACTCACACAGATGCACATACTCACAGATGTACACACTCACAGATGTACATTCACACGCATACATTCACAGATGAATGCACATATAGTTGTGTACACACTCACAGATGGACACACACTAACAGATGCATATTCACACAGATGCACATACTAACAGGTATGCACACTCACAGATGCACATTCACACAGATGCACAGTTACAGATGCACACACATACAGATGCACACTTACAGCTGCAAACATTCACAGATGCATACCCACAGATGCACACTCACAAATATGCACACTCACAGATGTAAACACTCACAGGTGCACACTCA